ATTAAAGGCTGGGGATGTAGCTCAGTTACAGATCTCTTGCCTAGCAAGCACAAAGTCCTATATTCAATCCCTAACATGGGGTAAATAAAGGAAAAGTTCCCTAAGGAGGTTGCTGATGTCTTTAGTGAGAGCTATTTTGAGGCAGTGTTATATCTAATGGCAAACTGCACAATTTTGATTCCAAGGTGAGGAAATAGAGGCATGGTTTAGTCTGGATCTAAACGTTTGGTTTAATTTAGTTTGGCCCATGTGTTGAAGGCTTGGCTACTGGCCATGGCACTACTGGGAGATGGTGGAATCTTTAAGAAGTGGGGCTAGTGGAAATAAGATGGGACCTAGTGGAAGGAAATTAGATTAATGGGAACATGACCTTGAAAGGGATATTGGGACCTCAGGCCACTTTCTTTCTCTCTACTTCCTGGTCTGCCAGGAGTGAACAGGACTCCTCCACTTCCGAGTGTTCCCCACCATAATGTACTGTGTGCCACAAACTCAAAGGAACAGGGCCGAGTGACCATGAGCTGAAACCATAAGCCAAAATAAACCTTTCCTCCTTTTAAGTTGATTATCTCAGGTATTTTGTCAAAGTAAGGGAAAGCAGACCAAAAAAAAAAAAGGAAAGGATCCACATGGAGGTTGCTGATGACTGATAGAGATCTGCTGTAATCAGGGAAAGAGATGCCTTGTAGGTACATACAGGAGGTAAAAAGACTGGTATATCTGAAAATAAGCAAGCAGAGGAAGCAAATTTCACAATCCCAAAATACACCAGACCACGGAGGTAACCCCAAAATTACGTAAACAGACATTTTATGAGCATTCAATGTTGTTGCTATTTTGCTTGTCTAAAAAACTTACTCTCCCCCAGGCAGAGTAGGGACTATACTTTATTCATCACTGCGTTCTTGGGACCCAAAATAGAGCCTGCATACTTCAGGTGCTCAGTAAGTATTTCTAAATAAATACAGAATTCTGAATAACAACCTTAATTATTGTAGTAGCCTTCTTGCTTGTCCCTCTCCTCCAATCCATTTTGTTGTTGTTTTGTTTTGCTTTACTTTGCTTTTTGTAAGAAGACTATGCTACTTAAGCACTGCAAGTATTGTCATTACACCTTTAAGAGCTCCCTCTCAGACTCTCAAGTTTCTTGGAAACGGAACTTATGCCTGATGATCCCATAATACGCCAATATCTTGCAGGACGTCAGGCTAAATAATCGAACCTAATAAGTGGCTTCTTACTAAAGAGCGATGTTAGGCGTTTTCAGTGACTCCAAGTCCACCAACCTAAACTGCCGCACCAAGCACCGCGCTGCCAGAGTCCTCCTACCCGACAGGGAGCGCTGCACCTCTGAAGGCCGCCACCTGCTGTAGTCCCCGCCCCCCGGCCCCGCGGTCACCTGCAGCGGCTGCACTCGGGCCTCCGCTCAGCCGGCTCCACAGGCAACTCCCACAGGCCCTCGGCACTCGCGCTATCGGCCTCTGCGTCCAAGGTGGACGCTACCAGCGATGCACCGCCCTCCTGCCGCTCCTCCTCACTAAGCGTCTGAGATCTCAAGGCC